AAAATTATCCCTGAAGCTTGGGACAATACACTCTTCACACTGGAAGCAGAGCCGTACCTTAATAAAGAGTTAAAAAGGCAAGTAACTGGCTGGGGAAATGAGTAAACAGTGGGAAAAAAACTCAGACTATAGAATCTTACTTTGGTAACAAGGAAAAATCAAAACATACACTCGAAAGAAGACAACAAAGTTAAAACTCCTACATCCAAAGCCTCCAAGAAAAATATGACATGGTCTCAGGCTATGGAAGAGCTCAAAAAGGATTTTGAAAATCAAGTAAGAGAAATAGAGGAAAAAATGGGGAGAGAAATGAGAGTCATGCAAGAAAATCATGAAAAACGAGTTAACAGCTTGCTAAAGGAGACCCCCAAAAAATACTGAAGAAAATAGCACCTTACAAAATAGACTAGACCAAATGGCAAAAGAGGTCCAAAAAGCCAATGAGGAGAAGAATGCCTTAAAAAGCAGAATTGGCCAAATGGAAAAGGAGGTCCAGAAGCTCACTGAAGAAAATAGTTCCTTAAAAATGAGAATGGAGCAAATGGAAACTAATGACTCTATGAGAAGTCATGAAATTGTAAAACAAAACCAAAAGAATGAAAAAATAGAAGACAATGTGAAATGTCTCATTGGAAAAACAACTTACCTGATTCAGGAGAGAGAATTTAAAAATTATTGGACTACTTGAAAACCGTGATCAAAAAAAGAGCCTAGACATCATCTTTCAAGAAATTATCATGGAAAACTGCCCTGATTTTCTAGAACCAAGGGTAAAACAGAAATTGAAAGAATCCACCAATTACCTCTTGAAAGAGATTCTGAAAGGAAAATCCCAGGAATATTATAGCCAAATTCTAGAATTCCCAGGTCAAGGAGAAAATATTGTAAGCAGCCAGAAACAATTCAAGTATTGTGGAAACAATTGGGATAATACAAGATTTGGCAGCTTTTACATTAAGGGATCAGAGGGCTTAGAATATGATATTCCAGAGGTCAGAAGAACTAGGATTACAACCAAGAATCACCTACCCAGCAAAACTGGGTATAATAATTTAGAGGAAAAAATGAAAATTCAGTGAAATAGAGGACTTTCAGGCATTCTTGATGAAAAAACCAGAGCTAAATAGAAAGAAATTATTTTCAAATATAAGACTCAAGAGAAGCATAAAAAGGTAAACAGGAAATAGAAGTCATAAGGGACTTACCAGAGTTGAACTGTTTACATTCCTGCATGGAAAGATGATATTTGTAACTCATGAGACCTTTCTTGTTATTAGGATAGTTGGAGGGAATATATCCATATCTATTTCTGTATCTATATCTATCTATCCATCCATATATATACACACACACACACACACACACACACACACACACACACACACACACAAAGGGCACAGGGTGAGTTGAATATGAAGGGATGATAACTAAAAAATAAAATTAAGGGGTGAGAGAAGAATGTACTGGGAGAAGGAGAAAGGGAGAGGTAGAATGGGGTAAATTATCTCACATAAAACAGACAAAAAAAGCTTTTATAGTAGAGGGGAAGAGGGGGGAAGTGAGAGGGAATGAATGAATTTTACTCTCATCAGATTTGGCTTAAGGAGGGAATAACATACACGCTCAATTAGGTATGGAAATCAATCTCAGCCTACAGGAATATGGGAAGGAAGGAGATAAGAGAGGGGGGATGATGGAAGGGAGGTAGATTGGGGGAGGGGGTAGGTAGAGGGAAATAGAGTTAGTCTTTCACAGCATGACTTTTAGGGCAGTATTTTGCATGACTACACATGTATAACATTGCTTGCCTTCTCAATGAGGGTGGGTGGGGAGGGAGGAAGGGAGAGAATTTGGATCTCAAAGTTTTAAAAACAAATGTTAAAAATTGTTTTTACATGCAATTGGAAAATAAGATACACAGGCAATGGGGTATAGAAATCTATCTACCCTACAGGAAAATAGAAGGGGAAGGAGATAAGAGAAGGGAGGGCAGATTGGGGGAAGGGGTGATCAGAATGCATACTGTTTTGGGGCAAGGGAAGGGGAGAGATGGGGAGAAAATTTGGAACTCAAAATCTTGTGGAAATGAATATTGCAAACTAAAAATAAACTTAAAATTTAAAGCAGTTATATATACAGCCAGGAAGGAAATGGAAGTTGGGCCAACCTGGGTCCCTCCCCAAAATACAGGCCTAAGGAGGGACTTGTCTATGGAAGAAAGGAGCTGCCATAGCAGAGCAATGTTTTAGGGTGAGAAGACCATGAGGCCTGATGCTTGTTCCATGATGAGACTATAGGTGAGGCATGCATAGTGTGAAAGCCTAGCAAATCAGAAGCAGGCACAGCAAGTTAGATTTGCATGTTTTAGAAAACTGGAAGGATTTTGAGAGCTAATACAATGGATGGTAAGTCAAGATCCAAAAAGATTTTGACAGCCTAGGATGTTGGGCTGAATTCACTGAAAAAGAATTCAGTAGTCTGACATTTGGGCTTAAAAATAATGAGTGCAAAATGGGGAAGCATAGCTAGATTGCAGTTTGTCTGAAGACAGAACTCGGTATTTTATTGGACTGATTTCAAGCTGAGAGAGAATCATCAGATGATATAAACAAAAACAATAACTAATATGATCTTAGCTTCCACTAAGAAAAGATTAATGTCCAGGCACAGGAAGGGCATGTATGGATGAGAGTAGATTCCCTCTAAGGTCCCATCTAACAGATTATGTGATTTTGGTTTAGCTCTAAAAGTGGTTTTCAGGGGGTAGCTAGGTGATGCAGTGTATAGAGCACTGGCCCTGAAGTCAGGAGGACCTGAGCTCAAATCCAGCCTCAGACCAAACATTTAACACTTACTAGCTGTGTGACCCTGGGCAAGTCACTTAACCCCAATTGCCTTAAAAAAATTTTAATAAAAGGGGTTTTCATTTTCCGACCTCATTCTGAGTTTCACAGTGCCTGAAACCACTAAAATGTATTATTTTTCACATGGTACTTAGACAACTTGACTGCTTCCAAATCCTTTTTAGTTACCTTTTTATATGAAGACTTGGACAGTGTTACTTAGTGAAGCCAAAACTAAGAATTTTTTCAAGTTATTACCTGAATTTACACTAGGAAATGGAATTCTATTCAGCTATACATTGTTTTGATTCCCAACCCAAGCCTTTTCCCCTCCTCCCCCTAAGTATTTTCATAAGAATTTAAGGTGCTTAGAAGGAGATCATAACCTCATAGTGAACCTGAGGTTCAGAAAAAGAAAATAACTACAGAGTTTCAGGGAAATAGCATGAGAAGGCAGAGAGTTGTCTTTGTTGGAATCAGGAAGATCTGGGTCTGGATCCGATGAGCCTGGGCCAGTCTCCCGGCCTCTCTCCGTGATCTCAACCACTGACCCAAAGATCTCTTCTTATTCTAAATCTGCTCCATTTAGAGCCAGGGATCTGCTACTCATGCTTAAGGGTTAAACCTGCTTGAATCACATTTGAAATTACTTTCCTCTTTTTTTGGCTACTCTTGTCAGGCCACAGTGTCCCAACAGCTCTCTTATAAGATTTGACTTTGCCCTGATGACGCTGCATTGGCATGGCTTCCTCTGGAAGCTGATCTCCAGCCTCTGGTCCTCCGTCCTTTCATCTCATCAGCATTGTCTGCCAATCAGTGGTTTCCTCTTCTGCTGGCAGATGTTGTAGCTGTGGCAGGAAGCTAGAGAGAGGACCAGGGAATAAGATGATCTTTGTGTTCCAACAATGGCTGCAAATATTACAAACAAAAGGAGGGCACTTATGTGCTGCGGTAATCAGAGCCACGAGCTTCCTGCCCATCTGCTCAGGGGCAGAAAGGAGTGCCTGCTGGCTCTGAAATTAAAGGTGGTGGCCTGAGAATACAAATGTAGAGGTTAACCTTCCCTGTTGATTTTTGTCTGCTTTGTGAACAAAATAAAAATTGTAAAGTTTCTTTGAATGAGGGACATGAAGACTTTTGACTGCTGATGGCCCTCATATACCAGGGGCCCCACAGAATTTGGAAGTGAGAGCCCACAAGTCAGGGTCCCATCCCAGCTGTTTCCCACGGCAGCACTCCCTCAGCCTCCGGGGCCAAGAGTCATCGAGGAGGAAATTAAGCTACGAGAGATTAAGTGACTTGCCCAGCGTCCCTGTCAGTAAATACTGGGGCTTGGAATCCTGATCCCAGTTCCCTATCTAGTGATATGTGTACTTTGTCTAAACACCAAGGTTTGTGTGTCCATTCATATGGTACTTTTCTTCATAATTCCATATCATTGTTCCTGCTTATTAAGATTATAAGGTCATTGATTTAGAGTTAGAAAGGACTTTAGAAGTCATCTAGTTCAGCCTCTTCATTTTGCAGGAGGAAACAGGCCCTAAGAGGTTGATTTTTTTTTTCCAATGACTTGCCCTAGACCTTACCACCATGACTCTTAACATCTCCTCCCACTGCCAGCCCCTTCTCCGATTCCAACAGTGAGTTTTTTCTGCAACCTTCATTTTGGGGAAGGGCCTAGACCGTCCTAATTCTTTACACTTTGCTACCATGCTGCCCAATTATTTGAACCCAAAGACTGTTACATGAGCTAACTTGTAGCTTTAATTTGGGGTAACTTGTAGTGAGAGGAGGCGGCTGAGTCACGGTGGTGAGGTCTAGGGCAAGTCATTGAAAAAAAAAATCAACTTCTCAGGGCCTGTTTCCTCACTGGCAAAATGAAGCAGGCTGAACTAGATGACTTATAACGTCCCTTCCAGTTCTACTGGATTTTGTGATGTGAACCAAGATTTTGAAAAATCACCTACCTATTAGTTTCTGGGCATTAGTACACTGGGCTTTTAATAGTAAATTAGTTAAGACTGTATCTTTGAACCAAGGATTGTCATCTTGGTGGGGAAAAATATTTTTATAGGATCCAATGGTATGGGTTTTTTTTCTTTCTTAGATAGCACTTGCACATTCTGGGTGCTAATTACTTTGATCCCTCCTTGTTAGTTTTAAAGGATGTCCTTGGGTTGATTGCAAGGCAATCCAGTGAGCTGGAGGACCATGCAGAACACCTGTATGACTCAGTCTTAGCAGCTCTAGATATGATGGCCGGGACTTCTGGCCCAGACAGCAAGCCAGCTACATGTGAAAGGATATAACCAGGTAAGCAAAGAAATGGGGAGAAAGAAGAAATTTCTTTGTTCTTTCTTTAGAAATACTTGTGCTTATTAATATATATATTTGTAGAATGAATACATGTCTGCCATGGTCCTTAAAACTGGCTAAGTTCAGAGTTGTTTGTGATAGGTTAAAAGTGATGAGAAGATAAACAATATAAAAGTTGCCAATTGGAGGGCGATGGGAGTGGGAGGGGAGAAAGAGGGGACCGAGGCAGACCATTTTTAGAAGGCAGGGTGGTGGTACCTGCTCTGTCATAGTGGACAGAGTGCAGGGCTTGAAGTCAAAAAGCCTTGGGTTCAAACTTCTCCAAGCACTTTTCAGTTCCAGTGAAATGATGTCTATGAAGTGCTTTGCAAACCTTAAAGCACTGTGTAAACATGAACTGTTGTTAATATTGGGGCTTTGATTTCATCAGTGTAGAGATCGACATTACCAATGCAGATTGAATCAAATCAATAAGCATTTAATATTCCTTCCATATGCCAGGCTCTAGGGATACAACCCTCAAGTCGCTTATGTCCTCTTGGAAGAAACATATTTAGTATACGTGTTTGTTACACTTAATAGACTGCCATATTTTTGTGATATATATTATGTAATTATAACATCATAATTATATTCACTACATAGTGTTATATATTATCGAAGTATACATACTGTATATATGCCCATGTTACATGTATACAAAATAGATACAAGGTAGTTTGGGGAGAGGGCTCCTGCAGCAAGGGAATTGATGAAGACTTCACGTTAGGTGACTGTCGAGCTGAGTTTTGAAGGAAACAAGGGGTTCCAGGGCAGTGGGGAGGACAGGGTACATACCAGGCATGGGGGACAACTACTGCAAAGAAATGGAGATGGAGGGTGGAGTGCAGGCGGCCAGTCTGGCTGGAGTGTAACATGCGAGAGAAAGAGGGTTTGTAATCCTCTGTACGGCTGGAGAGGCAGTTTGGAGCTGGGTTCTGGTGGGCTTTACAGTCTGGATGAGTTGATAAGCTTAGAGGAGGGATGTGCACATACGGAAAACCATCTATGACTTGATCCTTCTTGCCTGGGACAGCAAGAGCTTAAGTGACTTATCCACATGGTTGTAGAGCCAGTGTGTCCGGGAGCAGGGCTGGAACCCTTGTCTTTATTTTCCTGACTCTAAGGCTGGCCCTCTGTCCTCTGTTGTTATAATCATGGATAGCAGTCAGCTCACTAGTGACTATTTTCTTGAAATGAATCATTTCTATTAGCTTAGAGAAAGATAACCTAATAGTACATCTCTGCAGCAGTACTAATTGAGAAGCAAGGTTACTGTTTTGTCTCCCCTAACCCACAAAAGGGTACCAGTCTTTGTCTTCTCTGAAACCTCCAGTTTTTCCCATTAGCATTTTAAGAAACTTTAAACAAATTTAACCCCAGTATCTTTTCTCTGTGCCATAGCTAACTAACCCCTTATAACCAGTAGGGGCTCAGTGTCTCAAGTTTTATTCTCTCCTGCCTCCCACTCAGGCTCTGATGAACCTGTTTTCCATCCCAGTCCTCCTACCCTGACTTTAAAAAAGGAAGTAAGGGGGTAGTTTCTCCATGCTTTTTAAGAAGAAGAAACAATTCCATCTTTTGATCTGTGCGGAAAGGTGAGGTAACTGGTAAGGAATGGCAGGAGCACACACCGGCCAAGTGGTCGCCACCATCCAGAGACTGTCCACGGTGTTGCTCGTCCCTGCTATCTCAGGATGAGGCTGCTGGTACCATCTTTCAATTCAACAGAGAAGACAACTGTCCTCAGCAAGAAAACTAGAGGCATTCTCTTCCAGAATGGTCCCTCTGGTGAACCAGATACTCCTCTTGTCCCCGTGTCAAAGAAGCAGTCTGTGCAAGAGTTCATGCCGTGTATTCATAGTATGGCTTAAGAAACATGAATTAGGAATCCCCAAATCACAGTTCCGGTACCAGCTCTGTCACTCTCTGTGCGTGACTTTAGGCAAGGCAGTTAAGTTAATCTCTTGGATCCTTAATTCCCTCATTGATAAAAACAAAAGGTAGGATGGTCCTTTAAGGTCTTTTCTTATTCTAAAATAAAGCTCTACTGTGCCTAAATTCCAACTACTAGAGTAAGTCACCCTGGCATGGCTAAGGATGCACATAATTCTTGAATTCTATTTTTCTTTGCTGGCCCATTCCTGCCTGTAACACATGGCCTCCTTTCTATTTCAGGTAACATCTCAAGCAGTGTTGGAATCTGCCAGCCCAAACCCGGTTGGAAAAAACAGGAATTTGCTGGAAGCCCAGCAAAAGTGATGACTTTTTGCCAGATCACACTGATGTAGCAGAGAACCACAGCACTGACCTGCTGGCTCTAAATGAATTTCTCGTGTGTGAAGTGGAAAGCTACTTGAATTATTATTGAAAAAAAAGAATCCTCTAATGAGAACCCATAAAAGGGAAAAGCAGATGCCTTCCAGACAAAGGTTTTTCTCAAATGGTGCTTCCAGCGACTCTGGGGATTGACAAGCCACTCAGCTTCTTAGTTCTTAATAGAAAATAGTGTAAGTGATGAGTTTGTCCCCTTAAAAATGAATGGCAACAGTGCTCATAGCCAGACAGTTGTCTCAGGAACCTTTTTGTGTTATCTGTTTTAAGTGTCATAGGAAATATGACATTGAAAATACTTTGCCTCCGAACTGGAATTGGCCAGAGGCTTTTGATCTTTCCACAAAGAAACCTCATTTGGGAAAACCAGACCTTGTTTGGGAAACCTCATTTTGCATGTTTACAACAAGAAAGGCATTAACACTTGACCTGCGGATGAAAATGAATACAGCCCACTGAAAGGTTGAGGAGATAGTAACACTGGTTTTCTTGCTGAGGACAATTGTCTTCTCTGTTGAATTGAAAGATGGTACCTCAGTAAAAAACATTAAATGCCTGTTACTGAAGGCACTTTAGATTCTTCATCCCTTGGGTAACTTAACAGTATTCCTCAAAGTTTAGGTTGTAAGTGTACCTCTACCCTTAGCAAAAGCACTAGAAAAAGGAGGAGTCTCCTTACCACCTTAAAGTGGAAGTGTAATTTAACCAATTAAATAATTCTATACCTTTTTAGAACAGTGACGCTAACTATCAGCCTGCAGAAAACTCCATTTTCACAAACTGAATTCTCTCAGGTCATGAATAAACGAGGATAGAAGAGGAAAGCAGGTAGAATATAAAAATCCTAATAACTAAGAATTGAGAAAAGGGTGTTTGGTAGTGGAGTATTAGGAAAAAAGCCCTTAGGGGTTTTGGGGAATACTTTTAGATTTGAATATGTTGCTTTATAAAGAAAAACCTGTTACATTTATGAAGGATGGGATAGGTCGGCTGTAGATTTAATTGTTTTCTGAGGTTAACCATGAGGTATGTGAGGTACACATTTCTAAACATTCAACTCTAGCCAAAGAAAATTGCAAGCCCCATTGCAGTGGTATAAAACCTCCTTGAAGCTAGATTATAGTAATGTTCTGGGATATACAAAATATAAATTGCTTACCTATATGATCTAGCCAGTTCCAGCCGTTTCAAATTGTTGGTCATGCATTACAAAGAGGTAATTCCTGCCTAGTCTGTTACAGGGAATTCTCAGATGGTAAAATGTTTATGGGGAGGAAATAATCCTCTAAGACGTAAGACCAGTTAAAACACAAAATGAAATCTCTCCACATGTATTATTAAATTAATAACATACACTATAAAGTAACAGAAGGCTAGAGTAAGGATGACTCTGGTTCAAGTTCTGTTCCAGACAATCCGTGACTTTGATCCTGGGCAGTTGTGACCTAAATCTTTCACTGCCCTGCCCTTCCCTTCAGGCACATTTGGACTGATTTTAAAGTAGGAATCTGTACGTGTGTCAGCTGTATCAGAACATCCTGTAGAAAGAAACTACTCAGTACCATATAACAAGTGACAGCAGAAAATGGGAATTCTACACTCATGGTGCCTCCTGAAATTTAGTACGAGATTTACAGAACTTATAAAAGGAAGTTCCACAGAACATTGTTGGGAGAGACCCTTTTTCTGTCAGTGACACTCCAATTCTCTACATCATACAAAAGATTTTTTAAGCTATTAACATTAACATTCAAATCCTTTTTCCAGAGAGTAGCAAAACACTACAGTATCTGTGGAAGTTACTTTATAGCTGGCTGAGAACGCCAGTAGCCAAGTCGATAGCCACTTGCGGGGGGGGGGGGGGAGACAATCAGGGTTAAGTGACTTGACCAGGGTCACACAAGCTACGGTTTCAAATGTCTGAGGGCAGATTTGAACTCAGGTTCTCCTGACTCCAAGGCTGGAGGCTCTATCTACTGCACCACATAACTGGCCCCTATAACCACTGTTCTTTAGGCACTGTTTTAAGAAAAAGAAAATAATTTTGGCTTAGCAGTCATTCAGTAATGTTAAAAAGTAGACCAATCTAAGAACTTTGGGGAGAAAATAGGTTTTATCACTGAAGTTAAATCTACCTGGGCAAAAGTTCCTGAAATCAAGACAGATAGAAAATGTTGTCATGCATCACAAACTCTTGAAAACAAGTTTTGTTAAATCCCATTTCCTCATGAGAAATACCTTAGTGTTCCTCTGTAAACCTCAAACAGGCATAACCTAGAATGGTAGAAGGAACACTGGACTAAGTCAGGAGAGTCTTCTGTTCTACAGGTGACTAGCTGTATGACCATGTGCAGGTGAACTTTTCTATGAGCCTCTCATCTAGAAATTAAAGATGTTAACGTACAGTTACTGTGAGTGGATTTCTGAAAGCACTTGCCAAGCATAAAGCAGTACAAAAATGTTAAGTCTTTTACTAAACATATAAAGTCAACATTACTGCTAATAAATGAAATTTCAACACAAAAGTCAGAGTAAGAATGGCTTCCACCTCACAACGATCCGAATTTTCTTCAAAGAACTGTTTCTGAACTGTAGTTTATAATCCCCAACATCTAACCACAATAAAGCCCATAGCCCCACATTAAATAACTTCTTTCTAAAGATGAGGGCAGAAGGCAATGCTTTTCCCCATTTAAAGGCTCACCCCCAAACAGGCATAATGAAGGGCAACATGATTTTCCTTGTCTTGAATGTCCTGGGGAATGTATCAAGATTTTCCAGATTATTTAGTAAGCATGTAAATCTCATGGAAATTTTGCTAGTGCATCAAGAATAATGGCTTGAGCAACCTAATTATTGTATGTAATCAAATTCTGCTTCAGAATCCCAAGTTTGTGTTTTATTCAGTTATTTTTCAAGTGTTTCTGAAAGTTGTGTTTTATACTGTTTTAAGGCAAATATAGCTATTTGAAGGTGTTTTTTCAAATTACCCAAGTACTGTCTGTGAGTTTTCAGGAACTGATCAGTTGCCTTATGTAGTATGAACAGATTCTCAATAAGCACATCTAAAATACAAAGTAAACTATGATTTTATTGTGAAATTCTCATAGATGGAAAATTCAATTGTATATTTATTCTGTTCATTCATTTTACAATAATCTTACCCACTTATTTTTGTACCATGTATTACGATTGCCTGTTTAGTGAAAATAAAATAAAAAATATTTTAAGGGTTGCTCTTACTTGTATTTTAACCCCTGAATTAAGTTTAAAGACTTCACCATAGGATGTGTTTGTGTACAGTGTTTTGGCTATTGTAGCATATATTTAAACAAACAATAAGGGGAAAATCTTCAATTAAAGTGTTTAGGGGAAAACAAAGACTCAGAATCCAACTCAAAAAAACCCAAGATCTTCTTGAGACTTACATTTTCATGTGGGTGCAAAAATCCACCCAGGCAAATAATTTCCTTTTATCATTTCCACCCAGCCACAAGTGGTTTTAACTCATTTTTAGGGGTATCATTTTTCAGGTAAGGGTTATCAAGTGTGAGAAAACCTATTCCCAAGCTTCTTCAATGTTTTAACTTTTCCCCCAACACAAGTCATATAGCTACAGTTTATGGAGGGCAGAATAATTATTGAAGATAGTACGCTAAACTTATTTAATAAAGTTGAAACGGTATTGATTCAGAATATGGAAGTAACAGTATATAAAAAAAGCACATACTGGCTAAATTACATCAGCTTGAATTGTTAGTCTGATCATTCACAAGTTAGGAAAAAGATACAATTTTCCATCTCTACTACAGATGAATTAACAAAAAGCATTTCTAAATAAAGCCATTTTAAAATGGTTCTAAAGATCAGAGATAATTGACTAAATATTGTACATTCAAAATGTACTTGATTTCCATAAATACCACTTTAATCTCCCTCCAAACCAAATTTGCTAAATCCCTGTACAGTATACATGCCTGCACTGTTGCATCATTTATCAGGTATATTAGCTGGGAAGCATTGTTGTTGCTATTCTAAAATAGGTCTAAAGTGCCCTGGTTGAACATAAATGGCTATGTTTTGAGCACAATGCAAGCCTATATTTCCCCTTAACCATAAGAATTAAGACAATACTTATCACCATACAGTTTGATATTACTTCCAATAAGTACAATATTTATTAAACATTTCTTCAGTTGTTTGTTACATATTGTGCAACAAATTACAATATCCTGCAGCCACAAATTATATGCAGAGTATGAAGAAACTAGTAATCAGATAGTGTAATCTTTCCATTTATAACTCTACAAGAAAGAACTAGCAAATCAGATCTTACATATAACATCTCACTAAACTTTTATGCATGGAAAGTGACAGACACTGTTGTGCTGTTTGATACAAAATGGCTGAACTTCATCTTCAGAAGACTAAACCCGACATCTAAACATGCCAATATAAACATCAAAACAAAATATATTCTAACCAACCACGGGAAACAGTCTGGAATCAGGAAAGCAACAAGGATTACACACATTATTTTATAAACCAGCACACAAAGGTTTAAAACAGTTCTGAAAATGAAGTTAGCTGTCTTGAGTCAAGGGAATAAAAAAAAAGTCAGTATTGACCATTCGCAATCTCTGACCTTTGTGGAGACGGTAAGAATCTGTTGTAGTGCAGCTACATACAGTACAATTCAGGCAATTTTGTTTTTTTTGTGTGGTTTTGTTTTTGTTTTTGTTTTTTTTTTTTCACTTGGGTTCAGATTGCAAATTCATTGTTGTGAGAAAAGAAGGGAGGCAGATTTTAGCAGCAACCTCCACTAGACTGCTTGACTGGAGTGCTCTGAATTTTAACATTGGATTTCTCTGCACCCCCAGCTGTTGCTCCAGGGCCCATTCGCTTTTTAATCTCAGCCGCCATTGTCATGAAAGACTGTTCTACATTTGTTGCATTCTTTGCACTGGTTTCCAAAAATGGAATTCCAAGAGAATCTGCAAATTCCTAAGAATATAAAATATGACATGAATAAAGTTAGATCCACTCACCATATGCATTTGCATCTTTTAAGCAAAAACATAATAAAGTGTATTGGTAATAAACATTAAGCCTTTCCCCTTAGAAATCAATTGTTCTCCCTCTCATTTGCCTGAATTCTTTCCATTTTAAATCTCAACTCAAATGCCAACTCTTCCAGGAAGTCCTTCTTGATTCTACAGAGCAATTTGGTTTTGTACATGCATAATTCTGTATTTGAATTTAATATATTAGGTTAAATTCTCCAAGTTTTACTTTGATTCAAATGAACATTCCTTTAACAAGACTCAGCTTTTTGATTCAGAAAGATAGGACTACTTAAATAAGGAATAAGAGTAGATTTTTAGAAGTGAGAATAGTTCTTTTTCAAGCCTAAACTTGGGGGAAAAAATTATAACAAAATCTAAAGAATAAAACTGACATACCTTTGCTGTTGTGTAGTCTACTACTTTCTTCGTGGTCAGATCACATTTGTTCCCTACCAATAACTTGTTGACATTTTCACTGGCATAACGATCTATTTCCTGCAGCCACTGTTTTACATTATTGAAGGACTCCTATAAAAACAGACATTAAGACATATAGTCAAAATCAACTATTGGACATCAAATATTCGGTTTACCTATACTGTAAACCTTAGCATTATCTTTGTTTCTTCTCCTCCTTCACCCCTCAATTCTATCCTGGTTACCAAGTCTTACTGATATTAAAGTCTTTTTCAAATATTTCCTACTCTCTACTCTTTCTTTAACCCTACATACAAGCTTCACTGCTCTCCACCAATTCATCTCTTTTATACCACTGTCAGAATAATCTTCCTTATTAGGATCTAGTCAGTGAATACATCACCTCTTTCCACAAAAATTTTCAGTGGCTCCCTACTGCCTGCCTGCCTACCACATAAAGCTCAAACTCTTTGTCTGACATAATTTTTGACTGTTCCCCAAAATCTATTTTGCACAGCCTCCAAGCCTTTTTTCTATAATGGTTTCTAGGAATGAATTGATCTCCACCCCACTCCCACCCCCCATCCCTTGCCTAAATTCCTCACCATTTTAAATCTCAACTCAAATGCTAACTCTTCCAGGAAGTCTTCCCTGATTATACCATTTGGGAACAATCATCTTTAAGCTAGACTTTACAGAACAATATTTTTGTACATGCATCATTTTGTATTTGAGTTCTAGAACTATATATCCCCTACCAAGACATAAGCTCTATGAGGCAGGTGACCAGGTTATCTAAACCGAGGAGACAGTATCTCCTCTATAATCTAGTACAATGCTCTGCCAACAGAAGGTACTTAATATTTGTGGAGTAATAACAAAACGAATACATTAAGATGGAAGAATCTTCCCTCTTGTCCCCTGGAAAAGGGGGGGGGGGCAGGTGAATGGGTCAAGATAAAAAAAAAAGTAAGCAGAACCCAAAAAAATGTGTATAAGTTGCAAAGAAGATAATTTAGGTTCTACGTAAAGGAAAATTTCCTAAGAAAATGAAAGCTATCACTCTACAGGTAGAATGTGATGCCGGGGGGAGACAAGCATCTTTAATAACATTAACTCTGCAAGCAAAGGCTCCAAGGACCCTTGACAATGAAGTGAAGCCACAGAGAAGGGGTTCTTGTCCACATCATAGTTTGTATAAAGAGGTCCCTGAGGTCCCTCCCAATTCAGAGGTTCCAGGAAACAGATATAAACAAGAAAATATTCCTAAGTCTACACACCTCAACTGATAAAGTATCAGTATTAGGACTATCACAGGTGAATACTATATTTGGAAAAAGAGCTTAGAAAGAAAATGGTGTAGGACACAGAAAACTGGCCTTAGAGTCAGGAAGATTCATGTTCATTCTGTGCCTCTGACACATCCTAGGCTCTCCCTTCCTTCCTCTGGACATGTCACATAATTTCTCAGTGCCCCAGGCCAAGTCATCAGTGAGGTGAGTTTCAACAGGAAATTAGCAGAACAGATCCCATGTCCCTCCCTAGCTTAACATTAAACCTTAGCTAACGTAAATCTAATACAAAGCAAAGGATAAACCACAGCTAATGTAAATGTAATGAAAAGCAAAGGATTTTCTAACAGACAAGAGTATGGTACATTTATTATCCACCTAGTATAAGCAGTTCCAGAGCCATCTTAAGTTGTCCTGATCTATATCTGGCCTATATGAGATTTGCAAGATGAGGGGAGATCCTGACATAAGATACTGATGTGTACTATAAATTATTTTTACTAAGTATTACTTGATGTTTTCACAAAAGGTACTACAGAAGAATAAACACATTAACCTCAGAGGACTCCATGTCCTTTAATTTTCTGGATCTTCAAAATAAAAAACTTGCCGAAAAAGGAAGACAATTTACTTCCCTCACTGCACCAAATCTTAGAGATTAAAAAAGGACATTTTAAGAGAAGTGGCAAAACTTTTGGCCAGTCAAAAGGAAGACCTTTTCCACTCCTTCTGTTCATACCAGTAGGATTTTTACTAGTTTCTACTCCAAATGAATCTCATTGTTTCAGAAAATCATGCAGGATGACTGGTCTGAAGAGCAGAGATGATGATGATCATGATGATGATGATGATGACGACGACGACAATAATAATAACTAGCATTTATATAGTACCTAGCATGTGATAGGCACTACGCTAAGTGCTTTACAAATTATCTCATTTGATCTTCACAACCACTCTGGGATGTAGATCCCAAATTATCCCCATTTTACAGCTGAAGAAACTGAAGCAAACAACATTTAAGTGACTTGATGTCCAGAATTCTATCCACTGCCCCAGCTACATGCATGGCCACTGGGGGGGGGGGGTAACGCATGCAAGGGCTGTCAGGGAGGGAAGGGCCAATCATGTGGATGAGGGCAAAGAATTACCAATGGACAGTTAATGGTGCTCTACTGGAATACACATAGCATCAAAAGCACCAGAAGTAGGGTCTCCAAGGAAGATATATTGGAAGGCAGAGGAGGGAGGGCGACAGAGGGAGAGAGACAGACACACCGACAGACAGACAGACAGACAGACAGACACACACACACACACACACACATACACACACACACACACACGAAATCATACATCTATAATAATTAAAATAGCTAACATTTAAACAGTACTTACTATGTGCCAACAATGGTGCTACACACTTAACAATTATTATTTCATTTGATCCTCACAACAATCTTGGGAGTAGGTGTTATTATTATGCCCATTTTACAGATGAGGAAACTGAGGCAGATGGTGGTTAAGTAAGTTGGAAAGGAACTCAAAAACCATATGGTCTAGACAGTTATTTTATAGGAAAAAGTTGTGATTTTTGTTACTTAAAGTACACACAGTGATGTGATCACAGATCCACTGAAACATCAATGTTATCTTTAATTACATCCTTATTGCAATTTTAGAAAATAACTCATTTCAATTTTACAGTTAAAGGAAAAATTATCAAAAACTCTGAATAAAATTCTAATTTAAATCTACCTTATTCTTGTTTTTTCAACAGAAAAATCCTTAATTGTAGGCTCTTGAAACAATAGGCCCTTTTAAACCAATCAATAAACATTTATTAAGGACCTACTATGTGCCAGGCACATTACCAAGTTCTGGGCTTAACTATACTAAATTTTAAATTATAATTTACCATCAAAAATCTGGGATTTTAACTAATTCTGGAAGACAATACCTGCCTAAATATAAAATCACTTAGAAGTGAAGCTTTATCACCCTTTTTTTTTGGTGACAAGTACTTCTTTGGTGCCTGAATTCTGTATATCCATAAATTTCTACTCCCAAACAAAACAGTTTCTTGATATGTGATTCTTTGTACTAACCTTTTGTCTTTAAACCAAGCCACTTTTGCAAATAGGAACTTATTAAATGTTTATCAAATTACTTAGGTGCTACTTTTCTTCCCCTCCAAATATTCTTTAGCCTCCCATATTCTTATCCCCTTTTTTCCAATATCAATTCCAATGCTTCAACTAGAAAAGACTTCAAATTTCATTTTTAACAACTTTATTGATCTGACTTTCGGTATGAAACACAGTAAAAAAAAAAATTTAACTCATTTCTCCTAAATTTTGTCAGTGACACTAAAACACAATAAAGCCCCTGGTTTACTGGATATTAGATGCTATCATGGTATCAGCAGGTATCAATCTCATTGTGAAATATAGCACTGCCCTCTAGAGATCAGCAGGACAAAAAGCAATCTGAAGACACCATTATTAATTAAGCCAATTAAAGCTAAGATTGGCCAAGAAGCAGTTTCAAAATCAAAACTGATGCTGGAACACAAGGGAGTCAAGAGAGAAGGGAAGTCTTTAAAGGAAAGATCTCTACTATGTTGATTATGTCCTTTTAAAAAACCCAACACTGGAGGCAGGTAGGTGGCGCACTGGATAGAGCACCAGCCCTGGATTCAGGAAGACCTGAGTTCAAATCCGACCTCAGACACATAACACTTACTAGCTGTGCGACCCTGGGCAAGAAAACCCCACTGCCTAGCCAAGAAAACAAAAAACCTCAACAGTGAACTTCCACTCCCTTAACCAAGTAATCTTGTCCTCTGAAGGTCAACTATCAAGCTCACTGTTGATGTGCTTGAGACGAGTGGAACGTATTAAAAACCTGGACTGTAAGAAGATGAGATAACCTGGTTTAGAAATGTGAAATTCAAAGACAAAACAACCACAAATGAATCATCCCTAAGTTGATCAAGTTAGGACATCCTGCTACAAATCTGCCTTTAACAACTATAAAAAATAAATCCTCAAAACACAGAATATTACATTTAAACTTCTCGTTTTGTTAAACACTTACAACAATGGTTTGACAACGGTTACATTTTAAAATAAAATGTCTGAATATGACCATTCTCCCAAAGTAAGCTTCTACTAAAGCAATAATTTCTGAAGGGCTCACCTGGTCTGTCACATCATACACTACTATGATGCCATGGGCTCCTCTGTAATAACTGGAAGTGATTGTTCGAAATCTCTCTTGGCCTGCTGTGTCCCACTGTTATTAAAACAAACAAACAAAAAACCCCCCACAAACTGTTGGATTAGATTGACTTTTAAAAACTCCTCAAATATATTAAGCGATATTTGCTTCAGACAATCAATGGTATAACTCAACTGCTAAAATACCTTAATGTTAAGATGAGAATGAATATAAATAGGATGGACACAGTTGTAATATGTAAGATCTTTAGTATTTTAAAACATTTCTCAAGATGATTTTGTTTTCCATATAAAACTACCTAAAAAGTACTTAGAGCCCATGAGATATCATCACATTCCCCCACCAGCCTACTTTCCAAGTTAAGACTATACCTGAACCTCAACAAACAAGTAGAAATTCATTTTAATCTTGCAAATCTCAAACAAAACAGAACACCTGTGTGTGTGTGTGTGTGTGTGTGTCTGTGCGTGCGCGTATGTGTGTGTGTGTAAAAATTGTCTATCAGACTAGGTAAAATTCCATTTGGAGGAAAAAAGTTGCCTTTTTTGATGGTCTTACTCAAAATTAGGGCAGACTTTGTAACTAAACTAACACCAAATGCTTCTTGAGGGCAGAGATAAGATCACATTAATCTATGTGTTTTTCTCTGTACCTAGCAGGCTACACTGTACACAAATCGGCCCTTAATCAAAAGTTATTGTTCATTATTTTTTTATTTGAGGGAATGAGGGAAAGGATAGTGGGTCTATCTTGTTGGGCCCCTAGGCCAGGCCCCACTATCTAACATCAGCATAGAAACTAACTGACCTGCTATTTCTGAATGGGGCCAGTCCAAACCTCTTTACACAGCTCAGTGGCCTCCATTCCTGGGAGCGGTGTCACCATACTGGTCACTAGACTTAGTGTGGAGACCCAATAGGCTCTAGTCCCTCGTAGCTCAGAACCGAGCTCCAGTGACCCAGTAGGGACTACAGCTATGCACCATCATGGCCAGCTCAATACACATTCAACACCTACTTCAAGTGAGTAAGGTACTGTATATTTTTTCTTGTTTTAATAGAAGATTCTGACTGAGAAAGCAATGTCAAACACAAGTCAATTCTTAATCCCAATCACTTGACTTTGCTGCTTGTTATGGCTACAGATTTCCAAAAGTTCATTTATAATTACTTAATTTTATTAAAATATATCTTATGCAGTAACAAAGCCTAGATCATTCATCATAAATTTATATTCTTACTAGTAAGATAATATTACAAGTCTTAAACAAATACTTACTATTTGAAGTTTAATTGTTTTTCCATCTAACTCTATGGTTCTTATTTTAAAATCCACACCGATTGTGCTGATGTAACTTTCTGTATACGTGTCATCCTGTGGGAACAAAAGAAAGATGAATTAGCAAAATTTAGCACATTTTATATGGTAAAGAAATAATGGCATATACAATCTTATTCACAGTTTCAGATTTTAGGGGAAGTTACATGATACAATAGAATGCTGGACATGGAGTTAGAAAGAGCTGAATTCAAATCCTGCCTCAGCTTCCTCAACTGCAAAATGGGATTAACAGAGCCTACCTCTTTGTTGTGAGGACTGGGTTATTGTGAGGATAAAATAATATTTGAAAGTAAAACTGCAAATAAACTACTATGTTATTTTATTATTTAGTTATTATTTTAGAATGCACATAATAAAGAGGCTAGTTTCTTCTGAGTCCTGTTTTAGTATTTACCTCACTGTCTTAAGACACTAAATAAAAATTTTTAAAAGAATATATCAAAAAAAAAAATATCTAGAAATTCTTCCATGTGGACTTTTTATTCCTTTCATTAGCAAGAAATATATTCTCACCATTTATTCCTTACTTGATGCTGAACTTTTAAAAAACTGATTTTGGTAATCACTTTTTAAAAGGAAGTCATTTCTTCATGCAAAATACACTAGCAAAAAATATAAAAAAAAGGAACTATGCAATATCCAACATATTTTTCCATGTGCCTAAAAAACTGATATTTATTTAGCCTTCAAGAGGAATGCCAACTTTTGTTAAGTAACTGATAAAATGCAAACTGAAGTTGAACATTTTTGTTCTCTTAATGAACTGTCTTAACAATTTAGATGAAAGGGCTGGTTTACAGAGTCAGTGGACAACTTCTGTGTAATATTTAAAAACACCCACTACATAAAACTTACACTTCAATTAATCATGATTTCATTACTGTACTATGAAAGCCGACCAACCTCTTGATGACTTAGTAAGTAGATCCTTTTAAAGGAGTTATTCTGGCCAAAAAATTGTGCCCCGCAGTCAACCTGGTAATAAGCCCCTCCAGACTTAGCCAGGCAAGTACTCAGGTGACAGACATACCACCACAGAACCTATATTATTTGGTGGGATCTGCCAGAGCATGGACTCCCTGGCATAGCTTTCGAGAATCCAGAATCACTGCTATGCCATAAAAAACAAGAGGATTTTAGTGGAAGATCTATTACATATAAAAGTTTTAAAGCAATTCCTCATAAGAAAGTTTAATCTCAACCTTTTTGTTCTTTTATCTTATATTAATTCTTCCAGATGAGTTATCCAAGCAAATAGATAACTGCTATCCAGGTAATTCTTAGGAAAGATAGAACTAAGGTAAAGTGTAGGCATACATACACCTTGAACAATTCACTGATTAGCAAAAAAACAAACAAAAAAAACCACCTCTACATGACAACACTGGGTAAAATAATGTTACCTGAATAGGCAGGGTTAGCAACATAAGTGCACTGAAAGCAGAACTGGAGGCCCTTTGACTTAGACAGGGTGGGGTAGATAGGAGATGATTAAAGACTGGGAGTTTGAACATGCTGGCTTTAGTCAAATGATCTAAAATTATTACATGGCAATTTGGGACACTATTGGTATTTGTTAAAATGTCTTAATGATGCTACTATAAAATAACAGGGGCAAGGTTATAGGCATAACCCCAGAGATGAGACTGAAAAAGGAAGCTAAACACTTCATAAGATGGTGAATCACAGTAGCTATGTTAACAAGCTCTAGACTTTAGCCATAACAAACACTCAGATGTTATTGCAGAAGAGAGCTGATAACCTGTATTAAACACCTTGGGTAGCTAAAGAAATGCTATTCTAGGAGACAGAAAGATCAGTTTCTAACAAAAACATAAATAAAAAGAGAGTAAGGACCCTAAAATTCTGCCACAACCACAATTTGGGAGTAGTGGTACTTGTAGAGAAAGAGAGCTTTATTTTTACTTTAGGGAGTGAAAAAAGCAAGCAGTTAGCTAAGTAAGCAATAGAATGGACTACTTCTAAAGGAACAAAAATGATCTACTCTTCATGTACAAAGAGCACGGAGTTGAAAGCTAAGTATCAAGCTTCCACTGGGGCCAACATATAGAAGGGGTATTATAAGTTACTTTCCTTGGTTGGGTGGATGACTAAAAATGCCTCATTGCATCAGAGGAGCATAGGTCATGACCTGTCCCAAGAAGACAAAATGAAGGATATTTGCAACTACTGTGGACTGAGATTGGCTATAATTCAAGTTTTATTTATAAAAGATCTGTATAGAACTTGTTTCATTATCTTAGTCACTATTAACTCAAGAATTACTCATTTATGCATAAGTATTTTGCTTGGCCTGATGCATATTTTTTAAATTAAATTTTATTTTTTCAAGTAGCAAAAATTCATCTCCACCCCCTCAAAAGCCAAAGAAAAACACAACCTGTTCACTGGCCACATCCAAGAGAAAATACATGTGTTTCATTCTAGTTTTGTTTATCACTTTTAAAATCGCTCTCTAAATCTTTTATCTCTCTATTAGGAAGCAGGTAGCCTATTTCATCGTTAGTCCCCTAGAATCATTGTTGGTCACTATGCTGATTGGGGTTCTCAAGTCTTCTAAAAGTTGGTCTTGACAATATTGTTGTTATTATATAAAATACCTGGTTTTGCTCATGTCACTCTGTATCAGTTTATACAAGTCTTTCCAGGTTTCTCTGAAATCCCCCTCCTTCCCACACACTTCATTATTTCTTATAGCACAACAGCATTTCATCCTATTTATATCCTGTAACCTGTTCAGCCATTCCTCAATTGACGGGCACTCCCTTAAGATTTCCATTCTTTGCTACCTAAAAAACAGCTATAAATATTTTTGTACATCTTTAGTTCGTCCTGCTATGACTAACTCCTCCCTTATTCTACATTCTCCCTCTCAATTCTCCCTTCTCACCTTTCCGTGTGGACTCAGGAAGTTCTGGGTTAAAATCTGGCCTCAGATACTTATTAGCTGGTATGACTTAGGAAAGTCAATTAACCTCTACCTCAGTTTCCTCAAATGTAAAATGGGGTTAATAACAGCACCAATACTGCAGGATTGTTGTGAGGATCAAATGAGATAACAAATGTAAATTGCTTGGCACACAGTAAGCACCAAATAAATGGTTCTTTCCTTCCTCCCTTCTACCAGTTCAAATGAGTGTTTCAAGTGTCAGTCACTCTCCCCACCCCTTCCTCCCTGTTTGTAATGACCTCTGTAAGTGCACCCTGATTATATGAGATAATTTAGGTTAGGGCACTTCTTTTTTTTTGGTGCCCATTCCCTTGGAGTATTCCTTTTCTTCTCTCTTTTCCATTCTTGTAAGAGCATCAAGACATAAGAGAACCCCTGCAGGCTTTCCATCTAATTAGATTTTCTCTGTGACTCCTCATGATAGGGTTCAGAGGGGACACATATATCATTTCCCCATGTATGAATGTAAGCAGTTTATACTGGTTTAATCCAGCATTTTTCATTCATGTTGACCTTTTTATAGTTTCTTTTAATTCCTATGTCTGAACTTCAAAGTTTCTACACAACTGGTATTTTCATCAAGAATGCCTGGAAATCCTTTATTATATCATTAAAAGTATATTTTTCTCCTGCAGGGGAATACTCAACTTTGCTGGCTGTGTTATTCATAGCTGTAAGTCAGGAATTTATGTCACCCTCGTCTTCTGAAATAACACATTCCAAGAGCTCTGCTCCTTTATAGTGCTAAATCTGCTAAATCATTTGGGATCCTTACAGGAGTTTCTTGGTACTGGAATTCTTTCATTCTGGCTGCTTGCAATATTTTTTCTTTGACCTGAAAACTCTGGATCCTGGCTATGATCCTGGAAGTTCTCTTTCTGGAGTTTCATTTAGGAGGTGACCAGTGGATTCTTCCTCTTTCTACTTTTGCCCTCTTGTTCTAAGGGACTGGTTTTTTATATTTCTTGATCATGGTGTTCAGGTAATCCAGTGATTCTTAAAATTTTTTCTCCTTGATCTGTTTTTGAGGTCAGTTATTATTGCTATTGAATACCTTATGTTTCCTTCTTTTTTCCCCCCAGTCTTTTGACTTTTAAGATTTCTTATTACCTCATGAAGTCACTGGCTTTTATTAGACCCATTCTAATTTTCAGGCAATTTGCTGCTTAAGCAAGATTTTTATGTTATTGCCACAAGCTGTTAATTCCCTTTCCAATTCTTTTTTTTCTACAGCTCTCATTTCTTTTCCAATTTCTTTCCTCTAGTGCTTTCTTTCATTGACTAAAAACATGTTTAGGTTTGTTTATGTGTGTGTGTGTGTGTGTGTGTGTGTGTGTGTGTGTGTGTGTGTGTGTGTATAAAATAATTTTTGGGGGGGGCCATTGGGGTTAAGTGACTTGCCCAGGGCCACACAGCTAATGTCAAGTGTTTGGTCTGAGGCCAGATTTGAACTCAGGTCCTCCTGACTTCAGGGCCAGTGCTCTATCCACTGTGCCATCTAGCTGCCCCCTTTTTTAAAACTCTTGCTTCAAAACTCTTCCAGGGATTCTAGTTGAATTTCTGTTCACACTTGGTTTTGCTTGTAGATGTTTTAGGGTCGTTCTCTTCTTCTAGGTTTGTGTCTTGAGCACGTGTCACCACAAAAGCTTTTCACAATGGGATTTTTTTTTGATTGCTTATTTTTCCAATCTACTAACTTCAGACTTAATGTCAGGGCTAAGCTTGGTGCAATTCTGGAGGGAAGATCTGGGCTGGGCCTCTTACTGGGTTCTTAAGGGTATGGAACATTACTTTATTTCAGGCTCTGAGACAGCTCAAGCAGGGACATGTGAAAATTGAAATATCTGAAATTGTGAATTTCAGTTAAATATGTGTTGTACATTTGTGATGTCTCATCTGCTTGGTAGAGGACTGACTCATTCTATTAGTGATAGATAAGAGGGAATTATTTGATAACTGGATTTTATAAAAAAAATCTTACATACAACTCATACAACCAACGTGGTGTGATCAGAACAAAGCATGATCCTTACCCCTCTAATCTGAGCTCTGCATGATTCTCATACGTGGGGGTTGGATCAAAGCAATAGTCACTGAGTACAGTCACTATCACCTAGCTGGATAGCTGTATTGGTTCAGAGTGAGACAACTATAAACTCACCTTTGGTCTGGAATTCCTGTCCCAGTTACTCCTCAGCAGGTTTCAGATTGGGCTAGAAGTTGGAATTGAAATCATCTTTTACTCCTGAGGTCAGTCGTAACTGCTGCTGCTTGCTTCTGAACTTGTTTCTTAATCAAACAGAGTCTAAGGCTCACAAAGACTCCAAACCCTGGAACACCAGCCCTAGGCAAAGGTCTCCTCAGCCCACCCTAGATCTGTGACCTGGAACTGGGTAGTGACTGACAAAGCTGCCAGAGAGATCCCTGTTACCACATCCTGCATAAGGTTACTGAGTCCTAGTACAGGTCTAGGACCTCCTCTTGCCCTGGTGCACAGTCTTTCCCTGCACTGGAATGTGTACTCCTAGGCACACCCCCATCCCTAGTGTCCACTTTCTATCTCCCCGTGCCAACGTGGGCTGGAAGAAAGGCTTCCTGTGACTTTTTCTTGGACTTCACCAGCAGGATTTGGTCTGGTGAGTTTTCTAGATCTGTTTAAAGGAGTTTTAGGGAGAAGTTTTCTATAATTCCTGCTACATCCTGGTTCTACCCTCCTAACATACATGATATCTAACTGAACCTGTTTCTTAAGTTAAATTTTCTCTGAATTGGTTCCTGTGATATTTCACATTTTTAATAACCTACTACTTTAGTCACTAATTTAAGCTGTCACTTGAATTTTAAAAAAAAATTCCAATTTCACTTTATTACAAGACCACCACATACAAAAAAAAAGCTTACAATTTAAGCTCTATCACCAATAGTGCCAAGTTTCAGATTTTCTTTAGATTAAGTTTTTGATCAAGCTTAACCTTAATTTCACATCAGTACTGAAGTATTCTGACATAACAATTATGCATATGGCTGTTCTATACAGAAGTAAAGGTTTAGGTCTTTTATACATAGCTCCAAAATCTAATTTTATAAAAAGAATTCTGAATTTTTAATGTAGCAAATTCACTGAAGTATTAAGCCTTACCTGGACACAGATCTATAATGTAAGAATAGAAGGATTTTTTTTTAAACTAAGATTCCACTGAAACAGGATACATAAGCTTACTTATGTTTATAGTATAGAGTTTTTTCCTTGGAAGTCAGTCAGTCAACAAGCATAAAGAAGGGATTTGTTTTTTAAAGTAATACTGCTGATGATCATTACATTAATTATCTTAAGGGGTAGAAGTTGTTTCCTGAATACTTAAACTATTTGTCAAAGGTCAGTAATAGAACCTGCACTGAGAGAGCAGATGTGAATGTTAAGACCTTAACTTATTCTTTAATTCACTAGCTAAAGGCCCAAGAAAAAAGTAAAACCGGGGAGTGGTAGATAAAATAGCACAAAGAAGATTCTCAATATTTTCTATCCGTATAAGCTATTATGTGCATGTCCAGTTCAGCAGTTAGAACACAATGCCATTGTCAGGCTAAGATGGTACCAGCCCCTGTTCTTTCTTTCACTCTAATAGTGATGAGTTGTATGTAAGATTCTTTATAAAATCCAGATATCATATAATTCCCTCTTATCTATCACTAATAGAATGAGTCAGTCCTCCATCAAGCAGATCAGACATCACAGATGTACAACACATATTTAACTGAAATTCACAATCTCAGATATTTTGATTTCATTAAGGAAAAAAAAACAATTCTTACTGCACATACACCAACATATTTGAAGTGGTACGTTCTTGCTCATTACCAATGAAGTAGTATTTTTAAAGAGCACTTAGCACAATGCCTGGTATACAGGGGGTGTTGTATAAACGCTTATTCCTTCTCTCCTTTGTGCAGTAGCAAAGAACTGGAAACAAAGTAGCTGTCCATTCAATTGGAGAATGGCTAAACAAATTGTGGTGAATGTAATGGAATATTACTGTGCTTGCTATAATAAACAACAAACATAATAATACAGAGAAACATGGAAAGGCATGAACTGATGTAAAGTAAGCAGAACTAGGAAAACAACATCCACAATATCTAACAATGTAAAGAAACAGCAACTTAAAAAACAGCCAGAACTGAATGCCACAAAGTTATAAAGTACAAGCTTGACCCACGAGTTATGAGAAGAAATCTCCCCTCCTCCTTGCTCCTTTACAAATATCAGGGTTCATGAGTATGGAATACTACATATAATGTCATTGTTTAAAGGGTGTTGATCAGTTTTGCTCAATTTTTTTTCCCTCTTCTCTCCCCCCAACCCCCCGCCTAAAGAATATGTTTTGCAGAATGGCTTTCTGTGAGAAGGGGCAAGAATACAAGGGGAAATCTAAGCAATGAAAAAACAAAAAAAACCTTTGTAAAAAAAAAAAACCACAAGAAAAGCCCACTTCTGTGTTTGGCAATAAAGAGAACAAAAACCTTCACAAGCAAATTTCACAAAAGAATCTCTTCCAAACAAAAACTGCCTAAGCAACTACTTATATAAACATGACTGCCAAGAAAAATATGTAAGTATTATTAATTAAAAAGCAATCTTGTTTCAGACTTTACTTACTGCAAACCTAAGGAGAAGGCAAGATTTCCCAACACCGGAATCTCCAATCAGCAGTAACTTGAATAAATAATCACTGCAAGACACAAAAAAGGAAATATATTAAACATACTTCATAAGTTCAAAAAGGGCAGGCTAAGAACACAATTTTCAAGCGTTGGCAGACCAGAGCTCTTAAAATGCTTTCTATGTATGGTTTAGCAACAATAAACATCACACAAAGAAGCAGGAGCTCTTTTAATACAGAAATCTGTGTCTGTGATAAGCAACCATTTTCCTAATTCCGGAGTTCAGTAACCACCTATTTCCAGGCAAAAATTTAAAAGAAACCTGCAAGTAACTCTTGCCAATAAATGAACTGTCTACTCCCCCTTGAAAGTTCATAATCAGTTACTTTACTGTAGTATTCACAAGGGAGTTTTCTAGAAGTTTTTTCCGTGTGCGAGATGCAAATGTTTAATTTCTGAAAGCTAATACTATAAACATTCAAGCCTAGAATTATGGTGAAGTCAAAAGCTACTTATACATACACAAATCTTGACCAAATATTCTAGGCCTAAAAATGATACCAAGAACACAGCACATCAGTTTCGCCTATACTTACTCTCATTAATGCTTAGACTAGCTCAAGCAATCCTTTTATCTAACAAATAAAAATAATCTCCAGGGTCTTAGGAATGAGAAGAATAGAAAAGGAAGGCAAGAGAGCTATTCAGGCTTAATAGGGAACAACTAACAAACTGAATTTTTAAAGTTTCCACCAATGCATTTAGACCAAGCTTGTTACCCAGTTACCCTTTCCAATTCTAAATACATTTTATAAATGTCCAAGGCCAAAAAAGATGACAACAATTTGGACTCACAGCTCTATGAAAACAAGTCCTGATTTTAAAGAATATTTTTATTTTACCATACATTGGTCATTCAAGTTCAAAACTTTTACTTTTGATTAGTTTTAAGAAGACATATTTCAAGTGCGTATACCTTAAAGCAATATGTAAATGTCATCATTATGTACAGTAAGTCATACCATTTATTCAGTATTTTTTAACAGTTATCAAGGCACATTGTCACTATGACTTAATTTTAACTTATCTACCACCTCTTCCTAACTACACCTATCCCTGATCATGTATTTTCAAACTTCCTTGATGCTGCTAACCAACAAATCGCTGAATAATGTTATTTATGTTCTGCAGCCCCTTCCTCTGACTGGTGAATACCTCCTAGAGCTTCCATTTTAAGTATCCAATGCGGCTATATCTTCATTCCTCTCCTGGCTCCATTCCCAACACTAGATTTTCTCCACCATGACTCTAATAGTTACCTTATCTCATTCCCTCTTTGAGCTTCTTCTTCTGTGCCGTCTTCCCAATTAAAATGTAAGATCCATGAAGGCTCAAAGTGTGTTTGTATTCTCAGGGCTTAACACAGGGCTTGACACAAAGCAAACACTTTAAAAATGCTTACTTTATTCTGAAAGAACTATACTAAATCTATGTCTTAATTTGTCATTTTGCTCATATCCTCTCAGAAATCTTTTAATTTTGTGGTCACTTCTGGTGCAGTTTATTATGACTTTAACATAAGCATGGAAGGCATGCTTTAGAGCTGTTAAAGCTAAATTTTGATCTACCTGGACAAATGCTTTTTATGTAAATGAGAGACAGCAAGATCTTCTGTTCTCTGTACTGCAGCCAATTCTGTGCATGATAGTTTTCTATAGAAAAGTCTGTGAAAGTCCACCTAGTCCCTTCATATATTCTCATCAAGTATACCCTTAAGAAATAGTAGACAGAATCTCATCAGAAATATTTTATAGGGATGAGAAAGCAGGCATATGGAGTCCATTAGTCAGTGAGTCTAGTAATTCTTTCTAACCAATACCATTTCTACTTATTCTTACAGTACAATGGATACTGAGGTGATAAAAGTCGATATGCAAATTTTATTGTCTCTAGTGCAGAAATGCTGGTGATGTTTACTATCTTCTTTCCAGTTTCATATCTTGGTTTCCCGTCATTTGCTTTTCACTGTTTTAGGTTTGGGCTCAATATTTATTAACCCCACCATCCCCAAAAGCTATTTTCATGTGGCTGCATTTTTTTAAAATACTGAATTTAAAACATTCTGCTATCAGATATTTGGCTTTGTCAAGTAATGTTAGTAGTTAACAGAATTACTGCAGGTAGGTACACACAGATTAATTTTGGATATTTAGTAAAGAATAAAATATGAAACATGAAATATAAGCAGAGACTTTAATTATACTATTAATGAAAAAATAATCTTTTGTCATCTATCATTAGATTCTACTTGAGTAGAAAACTGTAGTTGAGCTATAGATCTTCTCTAGATAATTTCATTACCTTAAAGATTAACCCATAGAATAAGAAAAAAGAACAATGGATTTGGAGTCAAGGAATGTGTTTCCAATTGGGGTTCTGAGTCTTACTACTACACCTTTGTGATCTTGGACAAGATACCTAACACTACATACTGGATCTCAGTTTCCTCCAAATCATTTTTAAAGTCTCTTCCAGCTTTAAATGCTATGACCATACTTTGCTTACAAATAATTATACAGTGAAAAAAAAATCTCTCATGAAAGTCTATCATTTGAACATCAGCATTCCAACTACCACACAATCTATTCAAAGCCAGAAGACATCTTTAATTACTAAATTCTCTGTAGTTGCCAAATATACAGTTCCACATATCTAAGGTTCAGTTTTTAAAAAGTTAAAGTTAATTTTCTAAACATAATCATTACAAACAAGATGTGTAAGAGTGAGATCAAAGAATCTGCAGAGATAAGCTAGGCCCTGTAATAAGCTTCAAGAAAATTTTATTCTGTTCTAAACTCAATAGTAGTTTTATTAACACGAGACATGTAACAAAAGATAATGAAAACTGAACCTAGTCTACAAACTTCCAGTTCTACATAAACTACATAATCTGCCTGTAATCTACTGGCATAAATCTATCATCCTTTATCAGAATTATTTAATTTTGGATAAAATACATTACAAAAGATGCCCACAAACTTGGACAATGGCTTAAAAAATTATGGTGTGAATGTAACGTCAATGTTACTGCACTATAAGAAACAATCATTGAAGAATTTGGAGATGTAAAGTAAGAATTATACAAACTAATGTAGACAGAATCAATACACACGACTACAATGTAAATAGGAAGGAAGGGAGAGAAAGAAACAAAGAGAGGGAGAGAAAGAGAATTCTGTGTTTGTTCATGAAGAAGCAATGAAAAAATTCACCTCTGTCCTTTGGGGAAATGACTTGGAACAGTGGATATTACTGTCAGACTTGTGAACGAGCTGGTTGGCTTTGTCTCTCTGCTCCCTCCCTCCCCCTTTTTTGTTGCTGTTAAAAGGGAAGGCTCATCAGGTAGTAGAGAAAAAAGAAATTCAGAAATGAATGTAAAAGCAAAAGTTATTTTAAAAGTTTAATCTAAAATGAATTATGAGCCTCATAAAGATCATCACAGTGGAAAATGAAATAATAAAATACAAAAATAACTAGCAAAAGAAAATTCATAAGTCACGAATTCCAGTTTTTCCAGTAATTTTCTTTTAAATCTGAATTCACTTTTTCCCAAAAAATTCTCCTTTTTGAATATCAAAATTGTTTATTTTCTCTCTTTTTCAGAATAATTTTTATTTCTCAGCAATTACATGTAAAAAAGATTTTTAACATTTGTTGTTGTTTTTAAAGTTTTGAGTTCCAAATTCTATTCCTCCCCCCTCCCTGAGGGTTTGGTAAGCAACCTGACAGAAGTGTACAATCATGGGAAGGAGGCAAAGGGAGAAGGAAGGAAAAAATAGCATGCTTCCGTCTATATTCAGATGCCATCAGTTCTTTCTCTGGAGGTGGATAGCATTTTACAACATGGGTCCTTTGGGATTGTCTTGGATCATTATATTGCTAAGAATATCTAAGTCATTCACAGTTATTCATCACATAATACTGCTATTACTGTGTACAAATATTCTCCTGGTTCTGCTCACTTCCCTTTGTATCAGTTCATGTAAATTTTTCCAGGTTTTTGTAAAACCATCTTGCTTATCATTGCTTACAGCACAATAATATTCAATTACAATCATATACCACCAACTTGTTCAGCCATTCAGATAGATGGGCATCCCCTTGATTTCCAATTCTTTGCCACCACAAAAAGAGTTGCTATAAATATTTTTGTATAAATAAGTTCCTCCCCCTCCTTTTTAAATCTCTTTGAGATACAGACCTAGTCACGGTATTGGTGGATCAAAGGGTAGGCAGAGTTTGATTGTACTTTGGGCATAGTTCCAAATTGTTCTCCAGAACGGTTGGATTAGTTCACAATTCCAATAGTACACTAGTGTCCCAGTTTTCCCACATTCCCTCCAATATTATAATTTTACTTTTTTTTTATATTAGCCAATCTGATGGGTATGAGGTGGAACCTCAGAGTTGTTTTAATTTTCATTTCTCTAATCAACAGTGATTTAAAGCATTTTTCATATGGCTATAGATAGCTTTTATTTCTTTTATCTGAAAACTACCTGTTCATATCCTTTGACCATTTAAAAACTAGGGAATGATTTGCTGAATTCACTTTCAAATGTTTTGCTCAAGTAGAAGTACAGCAAAATGATTTATATTTCTATATAACAACATGCTGACCAAAGACCAAATAAATGCACAATCATAAGTTTAGTTTCTGAGACATGACTATTTCCAATTATTAATAAAAAGATAAAGACTGCATAAACTCTCCTGTCTGCTAATTCGTTTTATATCATAAAATACAGGTACAACTTGTCTTTTTATCAGGTTATATCTGTAAAACATCTGGGCAGAATATTACATTGTTATGGTAACTTCACATATTAAAAAAAACACCAACTTCCTATGTTAAGTACAAGAATAAACCATCCTATGACCCTATGTTATTTTAAGGGATGAACAACAGAAAGCTGGCCTTATATTAACATTTGACTTCCAACAGTTCTCTGGAAACTTATGTACAAGTTGCTGCCAACTCAGGAAAGGTAAAACAACAAAATAGCAT